GAGGACTAGATGTAATTCAGGGCATTCCTAGGCCGGGTGCCTGCTCTGCACCTGGAACAGACCCACTCTAGCAACAGCTTAACATACTGCCTGCTGCCAGCTTTAGTAGTACATTTGACCTGCTGGACCTCTGCACTTCAGGGAGGGGTTGGCATAGATATAGGCACAAGTTAGCAAAAGAAGAGTGAGATTCCAGCATCTCATTATTCCTGTCTTTTTCCTTGTTAATAAGTTAAATTACCAGGAGGGGAAAAAAAAAAAAAAAAAAAAAAAAAAAAAAAAAGAGAGATAGATACTTTTTTAAAAAGAGGGCAAAGTAATAGCTGTGTTACCCTAGCTGTGAGAAACAGGCAGGTACGATAGAGCCTGCCTACGTACATGTATTGGACGGTCTCATATAATATGTTGGCTCTCTCTAGAAGGCCTGAATTCCTTGTGTCCTTGTAAGGCACTTTTTAGTTTCTTTAGAGATGTCTATAGATTCCAAGGCACCATTGGACCACAAGGCAAAAACTTCTCTCTATGGCTGCTGCTTGGTGTCCCAAGCTGTTTGTAATGGCAATCCTATGGTACGTTACTGAAATCTCTCAAATTCTCAGGTGGGAGTTGCAAATCAGACTTTAGGCTGGACAGTAAAGACCTAACTTACCAGTGGTTTTATTCATCACCAGTTCTCAGTAAGCTCAAAGACTGAGATAACCTCATCTGTACTTCAGAAATGCTGGGTCTTGGCAGGTCAAATGAAAGCCAGCAATAGTTCCAGGTGACCAGCAGCTCTGGGAATCTGCTCACAGGTAATGCAGATTAGGCATCTGTACCTTTGCAAACTTCTGAAAACTTTCTTGCAGTCATAGTTTGAATTTAAATCATCAATCAGGTAAGTCAGAGAAAGGAATTGCTCTGGAGGGCTTCCAAAGGAACAGTGAGAGAACATGAGGACTAAAACCAGCTTGGCAACAATGTTCCCCACGTACCTGACCAAGGTAAAGTGTATCATGGGGAACCTAGGCAAAGCACACTTTGTTTAGAAGCATTAAATATGCTCTAAAAGATTCATTAAATCTACCAGACAAGTTCCAAAGTAGAGAGAGAGCAGTAAGAAGAATGCTGAGGTGTAGTAGAGCTAATTTTGCTTAATCTCCAACAGATTTATGCTGGTTATCAAAAAAACAAGTAGGAGTATTTTAAAACTATTTAAACTACTCTGATTTGCAAGTATATGAAAGTTATCTGAGTTCTGATGTTTTCTTCAATAAATAAGAAGAGAGCATTGTATTAGAACTGCTTTATCAACCCATCTCAAAGATGTTGTTATCAGGAGTGTTTCAAGGAGAAAACTATTGTTGTCTATAGAATGGAGAGAAAAACCTGTGCGGGAGCATAAATACCTGTGGTATTTAACAGGAGCTGGGGCCAACTCCATTCTGAGTAGAACCTCAGTTACTTTTAAAGGAATTTCCAAGTAAGCTTGCTAGCAAGAAATGTATAACAAAGTGCTCATGAATTTAGCTAATTCTGACTGATGTATCATAATTTTATTTATGCCAATTTATTTCTGTTATTTTTTTCTTAAGAAAGTTGCATTCTGAGGCTTATGAATATTTTTTTATATGCTGCAAGGTAAAAAAAGAACTTGGAGTTTGGCAACTATAACTTGCAGTACTAGTGCTCGTGTGGTAGATAACTTGAAATTCTATCAGTCTTGGCAATGTTCCTGGGCCCTCTTTATCTAAGAATGAACTGTCCTTGGATGGTTCTTCTAGGATACTAGGCATAAACAGAGCTTCTTTTCCCCCCCCTTTAGCATCTGGTTCATGGTCAAATTCAGGGTTGATGTTGTTTTGGAGTTTGGGTTTTTTCCTCTCTTGAACAAAATGTATTGTAAAAAATGAAAGAAAAATCTCCCTCCAAATTTGGGTTTTTTCTACATCTTTTCCTCTAAAATCAACACAACGAAGTGTGATAGCATCATGTCTACACCTAGCAGAATGAACTGTCATCTGGGTAATACAGCTCCTAGTTTGAATAATTCTAAAGTTTCAGAGATTTATCTAGTATCCTAAATAGGTGAAAATGCAGACCTAACTTTATTACCAAATACAAATCTCAGTCATCAGATCAGTGAAACAATGAGTTTTTCAAGTTACACAGCAGGTGGAAGCAAAAGTCAGTGTACACCATGAAAGGACAGATGAAGGTCCAAAGGCTGATCTATAAGACAAGGAGCTTCCCAAATCAGACAGCAGGTGGAACCAAACACCCGACCTTGCAAGAGCCAAGGTGTTTAAACACCTTAGTACTCAGAGGCCGTCAATGTATTCCAAAAGGCAAACTCTTTATCAGTAGCCCCGGTGCCCCACAGAGTTAAATTTTCCCTAACACTGAGAACTAGAAAGTAAATTAAATGCGCTGCTTTCTATTTTATTTAACTAAATGTTCCAACGATTCGGTAAAAGCAGCTTTCATCCACTGAAGCAGTGATATGAAGCACCAAGCTGCAATGCAAGACCCAGGCTGGTACCTGCATTTTCCCCTGTGTGCGTCCCGAGTGATGTTACTCACTTGTGTAGAGGGGAACGATGACATTCTGACCGGGCGCTGGTTTGTGTTCTTTTCGAAGGACGGTGAGGATGAAATTTGCAGACACAACTACTTCAACCCAAAACATCACTTCTGCTTTCTCACACCTGACACCAAGGAGTAGATGACACCAGTAGTACTTAGCTCTATTCAGGGCTCCAGCTGCTCCATGTGAAACCATATCGAGTAGATACATCCAGTCAGTACTTCATTCATCTTAAGGTTTACTTCCCCAAAATTTCTACTGAAAAGTAGCCTGAATGAAGAAGTCCGTGACTGGACACTTTTTCATGTTACAACACTACCCTGGGGTTGCTGCTTGTGTGGGTTTTGGGGTCCAGGGGGTATTACCTGAATGGGAAAAACCCGTAAATCTGGCAATTTCCTCCCTTTTCTCCTACTTTGAGTTTGGCACGATCGCCAGTAAGCATTCCAAAAATACACTGCCCGGTCAGGAAGGTGAGGATGTGCCCTCGCACAGGAGGAGCGAGGCAGGGAAGGGGCCGGCTGTCTCCGACACGGGTTTAACGCAACTCCAAGGTTATTTCTGTCAAAATTCCGGTCAAATCGTGTGCCACGGAGCCGCTGCAGCAGCCTGACCTGACCTGCTGCCGCCTCGGCGAGGAACGGCGGCCGGCGGCGCCCTCGGCGGAGCTGTCCTCACCTCAGC